ACGAGGAGACCCGTGGTGTCCTCAAGGTCTTCCTGGAGAACGTTATCCGTGACGCTGTCACCTACACCGAGCATGCCAAGCGAAAGACCGTCACCGCCATGGACGTCGTCTATGCTTTGAAACGTCAAGGCCGTACCCTTTACGGTTTTGGTGGTTAGTTCCGCCGATGTTGACCGTGTGAACGCTCCAACGGCCCTTTTCAGGGCCATTACACTTGATTGTCGAATGGCTCATCCCGACGTTGTGTAGTGGCTTTACTTCCTTCCGTTCTAATTTTGCATGCGCTTGGGGTGGGTCTACTGTTTACGTGGTCGGCGCTAGTGCAACGGTTGTAGGCGGGATTCCATTGCATAGTGCAGTCGCCGTTTTTTTGTCAGTTAGTAGTCGTTCGTGCCGTCATTCCACAATAGGTAGGCCGCGGTTGGCCTTTCGTTTGTGCATGTCTTCGTAGTCGCTAGTTATTGTGTGTCATCAATAGAGGTCGCGTTTGATAATTGGATTCCGGTTGGAGACTTCCTCGAGGCCTCCAGGTCGCAGTCGCACATGTGACATACTACTGACTTCTAGGTGCGTGGTAGGCGGCGCTCTATTCATATACTACTTCACCATGACAGTCTGTGTATGGACCTCAACACGGTACCAGGTAAGAGACGCACTTTCTGCGCAGTAGGTTATGGTGATTCATCGTAAATGAATCAATGATGCAGAAATGAAGGCGGCCTGAGGCTGTACGGGTGTAGTTTACGAGGGCAAAAAACTAGATGGCAGCAGTTAGATGACAAAATTGAACAGACAGCAGGTAGGCGTGTCTCTACAGCCTCTATTCGGATGAAGGCAGTGACGTTAACGACTGGACCACACACAGCAATTTGGCAGAAGATTATGACGGAGAACAATCCACTTTCGGCGCATACTGCAAAAACGGCCAGAGCACATTCCCAACATGGACGTAGAGATGGGTTTGGATTCCGGCCGGGACTCCTAATTCAACAACGCATACCAACATGGACGAGGTTCCCCGAACCTTTCGATATTTAAGTGCCTATTTCACGGATGCCGTCGAAAACCGGGTAAACCAAATTAATTCAGAGTTGGCCATTATTCCGGGTGGATTAACTAAATAACTCTAGCCACTAGATATTGGTGTCAGCAGGGTGTTCAGAGTTAAACTGCGAGCTGCGTGGGAGCAGTTGATGACGGAAGGCGAAAACAAAATTGCCAAGACGGGGAGACAG